CCGGGAGCGCCGGTTTCATTGACCCCTGTGAGCCCAATAACCGTCGGGTGCATTCTTCCATCCCTTTGTTTGAAAAGGTGTGTGTGTGACTGTCTACTCTCCCTTTTAACCCTAGCTCCCTTTTGGCCTCGCCATGCCTTTCCGAGTAGGCTTGTGTTATTCTGTCTTATAAAATAGCCAGCTACTAGTATCAGATCACAGGCTTTGTAATAACCACTTATTCATCCAAATTACCTGAATTTTACCCCTGTAGTACTTGGCTTCCAGCCTAAGTTGTATTCAACTATGCTTCCAACATCTCCACGAAACGCCTACTTTATACAACTGCATTGAAAGGTGAAGATCATTACTTGCATCCGTCCCCATCATCTTATTGTACTGGCGTCTGGACCCCATCAGAAACCCACCTTCCTCTTTGATAAATGCTAATTTTTATAACTTCCATTCTGTATTTTGCATCCGGTACGTTTTAGGACGAAATATGTTGTGCTGCCCAAACAATTTGTCGAATTATTGGACACAACAAATACTCTGTCTTATTCGATATCCAGCGCGACAACTCACTCATCAGCCCGGGTACGTTGATTAGCGCGCCCTCATTTAATTGCATGTCGACATAGCCTGTCTGCGAAATACAAGTCGATAATGCATATACCTAAAATAGACTGGAATTTTAAGTTAGGTTTCTAACGGCTCTGATCACTGTTAGCCAATCTCTTATTTGGATGAGTTACCAAGACTACATATTATGGGTTTCCATTGTGACTCCCTTTACCCTTCGCCACCGACAAACGCTTTTGTTGTGACTTTAATTTCAAATTTTCTAGAAACGTTGGCGCTTTTGGCAAACAAGTTGCCGGGAATGGAAGTCCTCCCCTCTGAAACAGTTTATGTGGAGCCGTTGTCGACTTCTGTCGAAGATTCCACCAGGCAGGAGACTGATGACGACAGTATAAGTGAAATGGAACCTGTGGACAACAACGGGGCTGCTGTCTAGTTGGAAGCAACGTGCCAGTTTCATGTTGTCACGGTCTCCTCTGGCTGTTCGAATCATCCCCGCATTTCTGTGTGTTGTCTTTTTCACATTTAAGTAAATTTCTTACCCGAAAACCGGAGTTTTGCTATATATGTACACATTCGAAGCCTCTTGCCTTGTCAGTGACTGCCACCTGGGACCCGCCTACTAACTATCCATCTTGTTGGGCGACATCAGGTATCTAGACTTTTTGACACGATTATGCCTAGCCGTAGTAAAAAGATTAGCGTGTTAGACTAGAGTATGTCCATTTAATAAATAAAACCCAGAAGACTTGATAAGGCGGGTTGTGGTGACGTCGAAGCGTGGGACTGCCATGAGGTTTTTGTGGCGAGGGCAGGGTGTGCTTTGAAATGCTGAGCCGATAACCGCCGCGTCATCTCAAAGATGAGACCGGGAGGCGCGTTCGCTGGAGCAGGAGTCTTGTTCGCCCGATGTTTTGTACTAACGCATAGTCATGGACGGCATCAGATAAGGATAGTGGATGCATAAGGGTTGAAGTTGCAATGCCAGCGCATGCCTATCAGAGTTAGCGACTCCTACATTCATTGCAGATCGTTGCAGTCAGGGCGAAAATTGCTTGATGGCCCGCTACTGAGTCGTTGGTTTCCCCAATCTCACCATTAATGTTGGCCAGTAGCGTGAAAATTACCCGGCGATTTGGCTCACCAGATTTGGCACTGGAAACACTTCGCGCGCGCACCGTCTGCCCAATTAATCCACTCAGTCTCAACTTCGGATATGGGAGGGGAGGTCATTGCGCTAGATAGTAGACTACATGGGCCCGTGTGTCCATCACTGGTAAGGAGCTCGGCCACCTTCACTTTGGTGTGATTGGGTCCTGTCAGATGAGCCGCGGTCTGGGGGCAAGAGTCACTCCCCGCTGCTGCTGTTGCGTGTTCGGCCATTCGCACCCAGGGTAGTTTCCCAGGTTCTTCGACGTAGTTGCTGTGCTCACAGCGGCACCCGATCCGGGGAGCGACTCCAGGCTGCTGTTTTGAATCAACAGTCAGGAATTTGAGACTCCGAAACAGCCACTTTTCCAGTTGGAGTGTCTTTGAAGGGTACGATGGACCGTGGGGGAACGCCCTCTTTTCGTACCTTGGGAAGGCCATAGAATCGGGCCAGGGTCGTTTCTTGGACTCCCCACCTGTCGGTCGGCGGACGATATGGCTCACTCAAAAACGCCGCAGGGATTTTGCATGTCGGCGTCTCTACTGGGCTGGTTCCGCGTGGGACATATAACTGACGATCCTCCAATAAGTCCTTGACCTCTCGATGGTAGTCTCTCCAGTTCAGTACGACTGTGGACCACAAGTTATCCGCGGGTGCAATAATGAGGGGTTTATCCGCCCTCGGTTCCCTTTAGTGCAACGTGTTCGACATCGGGCGTACGTCGTGCAGCCTACGAGCTATGAGGACATACGACACTTAGCTGGTAAGGTCTTTCGTCTCGTCGACCGCTTCCGTTCCACAGGGAACTGACTCCATTAGTGCGATCACGTTAATAGGTTTGGCACTCGCTGTGTTATCTGAAGCTTCGTGTCGCAACACCTGTTTCTGTTTCACCGCCAGCTCCTTTGACGAAAGGTTGTGTACAGGTTTGCCGTTTCAAATGACGTTTAAACGGACGGATTTCGGAACTCGTTCGTCAGCGCTGCTTCACGTATCGCTCTACGTTCGCGGGCCCGCTCGTAACTCTGTTGATGCCGTTTGCCATAGTTCTAGCCCATGAATTTACATAACCTGACCTCAGTCTTTTGACGGTACTTGCAAAAGCCCCCACAACAATTTTATTGGGCACACAGACCATTCGTCTGCCGTGCTGAAATACTGACCTTATCGCTGGTTCCGCGTTCACCGGAGATTTTTATGAAACACGTCCGAGACGTCGGCTGAATAACGCTCGAGTCCCTTTTCTAGCTGCTGCCTGCCTTTCGCTCGCGTCGACACCAGTCGCTCATGTTCAGTCGTCAGGGGAGCCACCAATGGATCCTCTCCAACTGGAAACTACCGATAACTTCAATTGCTCATTTTCCCAGCAGGAGACAATCAGGGCAGTGAGGCGCATGTCCAATAAGAAGCCCTAGGGCACAGTCTTGGTGCCAGCAAAGGTCCCCCAGTAAGGAGAGTCCCGACTCCTGGAGTAAGTAAATTCACTGTTCCGGACGATGTGGGGACGGGGAGAAGTTGCTCAGGGGTTCAAGCCAACCACCATGGCCATCTCGACAGGTGAAAAGGCTACCGGCAAATCTGCGACAAATACCATACATGTCTCCTCCCAGTTTTCTTGGCGAAAGGACTTCGGGGTGGTCTAATTCAAAGCATGTCGTCCTGCCGGGGCTATAACTGTTGACGGCGTGACTGGTTCCTTACCAAAATCTGTACTGAACAACGCCTACTTAGATAAACATAGTAGACAGTTCTGGGTAGTAAGCCTGCCCCCCGTCATATACTCGATCCTTACCGGCAACCGCACAGAGACTCAGTGTGGATTCTGAAAACATTGTTGGACAGCGACATGTTCTTCACAGCGTGGCAGCTGAAGGAGGAACGTCCGGAAATGAGAATAGATCTCTAACCAACTTTCGTAGATTCGAAAAAGACCTTTCACACCGCGGACCGAGGTGTACTCTGGACGATCTTGATAAATTGTAACTTTGCCGAAAGACTCGTGCCCGTGAATCAATTCCTATTATCGACCCTAAGAGAAGAGTATCAACGTTTGTCATGTTCACGTCGTTGAGAAAACCCTCAAGGTCAGGGTAGACTAGGCTACGATTGTTCCTTGAATATCAGAGGTGAAACAAGTACTCGGTCTAATCTTGGCCGCTTCGAGTATGAACGCGCCGATTCCGAGTTGAACAGGCAAGGAGAAAACAGACACTATGTTTCGATCGGCAATCTCCATCATCGTCCACAACAATCTTTTTAGTATCAAGGACAGATTATCCTATTTAGAAGGCAAAATCTCAAACAGCATCAAAATTGGCGAACGGCTTGCAACCCGAAGCCTCAAAGTTAACCAGACTCTTAGCACGACTTAATTCGCGTGGAATCGCCAGAAAATTCTTTTCAAAGTTAAATGGAAGATGTTCAACGTTATAGTCATGACAAAACTCCTCTGCGATGCGGAGGCCTGTAAATGTCCCATCTTACGGTCGTCAGAATCGCCGCTAACCCATGTCGCCTCCAGTCCACCAACACGGTTGACTCAATCTGCGGCTTGGACGTCGCAAAACTGATACGTATGCTTGCCACCTCGTCTTCCGATATTTCTCTCCTCCCCGCCTGAAGTTCAGACGCATTCACTTTGGTTGACACTTTTCTGACGAGAACACTAGCTGTAACTGCTTGAGGTGCTACGTGTACACTCTTGGCCTCAGTAAGAGCTTTTCCACCTAACTGTCTTCCCCGCCTTCTGATTAGGAAACTTTCAAGTTGTCGGTTCTTATACCTCGGCAAGTGGTGTGTCCTGAACAGCAGACTTTTTCTTACCGAATCTGAGTAATAGTCGGGCGTTGACAATAGTTTTCGACCAGAAGTGCGACATATTTCGGTACCCGCTTCTGGCATTATTTCGGCCACCCAACCCACCCGGATGACCAACCACCTGACGGAGATACACTGCTTCATCAAGTCCTTTCTTTCCGCACTTACGACTCCATCAGTCTCTCCTGCGTCTGCTCTTTCGAATTTGAGGTCACAGATGACAAATTTTACGTAGGATTTTTCTTATTTTAGGCAGCATTCAGTTCCCCTTCATCAGAGAACCCGCCACAAATCCAACATGCCTCGTCTCGACCCAGCACAGCTATCATTTGCTAATTTCATACCACATTCAGTGCCAAAGGTCGTCGCTGAAAGTCCCCCTGCTTATTAACCTCAAATCAGACTAGACGGTCGACACGCATCTGCCCAAAGACCAGTTCAGTCAATCTCCCCGGCTCCTCTGGCTCTATTCGCACATTCCATGTCCACGACAGTCTGATTCACAGACTGCCTCGTGGACACCGGTGTCCAGCTCAGTGAAGTCCTCCCATTCCAGCGACCGCCTCTGCCCCAAGCCTAGTCTTCATCTTCCCCCATCCCCACGTTTGGCGGCCTTCGTCGATCGCCGTCCTGGATGTTCGCGATTACCGATGGTCCCATGCAGTCCTTAAATTAAACTTTTTAGAGTTATGAAAATTCCCATGGAGCGATTCAGAAGACCATTTGGCGAGCATACGCGTGCTTCCGACAAATCCGACATTTACATGGGAACGAAGTGCAAAGAGCGATAAGAGGAATCGATTACTGTTCGTCTTTTCATACAAGCGAGGTGTGTGAATAGGGTGGGGGGGGGGGGGGGG